CCTTTGAAACTAGTTTAATTATGTCTTTTATATTGCCTACCATGAAAGGGATTTTTCRGTGCTAGTCTAACACATTTTGATGGATGCTGAAGGTATGATAAGGTCTTGTAGGTATCAGGGCTATAATAACATATTAAAACAGTGTTTTGATCAAACACACAGAAAATATGGTCTATAGTACCATGCTTTATATCTGTAAACTCTTCTCTCAGATGAACTAATTTTAATGCAGCATGAAAGATCAGAAATGAGAGACAAATTGGCCTCCACAGAAAGTGGAGGACAGTGTATTTTACTAATAAACGTACTAATAGACCTATGGCAGTAGTCAGGCCTTCAAGAGCATTTCCTCTCCTTGTTTATGGCACAGTTTATTCCATCCATGAAGTAGCTGGATGCTTTTCCAAAATATCAGAAACTACTTTTTTTTCCTCAGAAGATCCTTAGATATCCTTATCTGCATTTCTTTGGCAGTCCTTTGAGGAACCCTTTCCTTAGCATGTTCAATGGAAGTCTGATTTTTTTCTCTATCTGCTAATTTTCCTCTTCATGTATGTRTCTGGTTTTCCTCCACACTGAATATTTTTCTGGCCAGAAGAGCATAAGGGTAGTTTTATATAAATTTTACTGGGGCTCCAAGCACCCTTGAGCACAGAACTCCACTCCAAACTGGAGTGTGTCCTAACAGCCTTTCCACAAGCCAAAGATTGCCTCAGTTCCTCAGCACTATGGGCACCACAGGACAATTCTGCTGGCTTTGTTCCATCTGTTTTTGAGCCAGTTAGGAAAGAAAACTTTCCAGGTGCTTGGAGATGTTGATAAAGTGTAAGAGGTAYCTGTGGGGCACTGCCATGGCCATTGACAGGAACGAGTTCTTTTTGTGGTAGCATTTTTCAGCTTTTGTCTTGGTTTATTCCTGGCCATCAGCCTAACAGGAACACTCACAGTGCTGTTTCACCATCTTTCTTTTACTTGATCTAGTTTTCCTTGTCTGCAAAGTGCCATTGTCAGAAACCATTACCTGCAAAAGTATTGTATGGATACTTCACCAATCATTGTTTCATGAAGATTATCCAGTCTTTAAATCTTAATTGAGGAATAAATCATTGCAAAGTTCAGCAATCTCCTTGTAAAGTATACTCAGTGATGGGAAAAATGGGACGAGTTTTCAACTCTTTTCTCAGGTATTTCATCAAGAGAATGTAAAAAGAGTAATAAAGCAAGGAAGGCATGAAATAGTCTGAAACTAATGAGGAACACTTGGTTATGATTCACCTCTGCTACAATGTTAGAAATGAGGCAAAATTTAGCCCCTATATCATTGTCTGCATGCAAAGGCYAGCTGCCAGATAAAGACCTTTTCTCTTCAAATTTCCTGTCTAAGAATACATAGCAGTGTTAGAAGCTGGAAACTATTTGTTTCCCAAAAATATTAATTAAATTTTGCTAAAATCAGAACTAGATTTTGAGGTTATTTATTTATTTATTTATTTCTTCCTGGGAAGAATACACATTGGGATGTATGCACACAACAGAGGATGCTTTCTGGTGTTCACCCATTTTCACTGCTCTCACTTCTGTAAAATTATGATTTTAATGATGTGATTGCTTGCTACTTTAAACTTGAAAATGTCAGAAAGAAATAGTGTCTCCCTCACACTGAATACTGAACAACTAAACCTGCAAAACCAGCAAGAATTAAAAATTTATCATCAACTAATGCAATGAGAATGTTCATAAAAATCTAATGTTCTTCTTGCACTTAGGTGTGGAAATAATTTTATTATTGTAAGAGAAAGCTTTTCACATCAAAGCAGTCAAATATGGATAGCAAATTAATCTGTATTCAGCAAGAAGCCCAATTCTGTCACACGAAAGTGACTGCAAATTTGTATCCTTTAATTGCACTAATGTCAAACACTCATTGACCCCAATCCTTCTGATTTTTCCTCTCTGTTCAAGAACACAGAAATATCTGCCTTATAATACTGKCACCTTATTGAAGGTATTATATCTTCAATAGTGTTATTTCTGTAGAGATACAGAATACAGAAATACTTGGAGAAGAAAGAAGTCTAATATCTATGAAATAATATTTACTACTAAGAATGACAGTGTCAGATTTGGAAAAAGTTAAACTCCATGTAAAATATAGAAAAAGACAAGCAATAGATCTTGCATGTAGAAATTCCCAGAGTATAGTCTTGATATCTACATTTACTCCTGTTCATCAAGTCATTGAGATCACTGGTTGGMTAATTAATTGCAATTTCTTGGCATCCATACACCCATCAGACCATCCTAACTACCCTCACTGTTGAAAATACAGATGTGAGCATCTGGCACTCCACCTTCACAGGGTGAAGTGCCTTGTCATGAGCCACTCCAAGTCAGGATGACACTCTCCTATCTGACCTAACCAGAAGACAGAACATGATTACAAAAATACAAAATTTTCAAGTAAGTTAAATTTTACAGTCAAGTCCAGTCAAGCTCAGTGTAAGTGAAGGAGAAATAAAATATTTTAGTTGCATTTTCTCCATTCCATCATCTACTCCCTGCTGTCCAGCCCTGGTTGGCTATGCCAGCACATCCACTGTTTCCAGGAAGTTACACTCCAGAACATCAAGATCTTCCCCCTTTTCTATTACTGTATTGGGTCCAGCTGAGATGGAGCTCATTTTCCCTACARTGCTGTTCTTTGCTTTGGTAGCTCCAGACACATCAATAACACAGCAGCAATTTTTCAAGGCTCTCTCTCCAACATTCCTCCCTCACCAGTATSTCAGGTATGAGCAAGATCTTGTGAGGGCACACAGCCAAGACAGCTGACYCAAACTGACCAAAGGAATATTCCRYACCWTATGATSTCTGCTCAGCAATAAAACCCAAGAGAAAGGTATAGGTGTGTTCATTTTTTTTTGTTATGGTATTTTTCTTCTAAACAACTCTACTTTTACTGAAGCCATGCTTCCCAGGAAGTGCCTGGACGTCACCTGCTGATGGCAAGTAGAGAACAAACTTTTTGTTAATAYAGTCTGGTGCCACAGGGCACAAAACCCATCTCAAGTGAAAGGGGAATGTCACAAATTGTGTGTATTAGACTGAGGGGARCCGAGCAGGGGTCAGGTGGGAAAAGCACACCATTGTGCTCACCCAGAGGCACCTTGTACCCTTGGCATAGACTGCCCCAGGAGAGGGTCCTTCAAGGACAAAAAAGAGTGTCCTGATGGGTTTCTGAAGTAGCCACTCTGAACATAAAAGATCAAGCACTTACCTACCCTGCTTGACTGCTCAGAAGATCACTTTGTTGTGGGACTGCTGTAAATTGAAGAACAGCAGGTGYCAATTGCTATCAGGATGGTGCACTGGCAGCAATGTAACCCACACCAAGACTCCCTGGCTCCCATCCATGGTTCATCATCTGGGAAGGCARGGAGTGATCAGCAAGACTCACTCACCTTTTAGCAGTCCCATATGGCCATTGCAAAAGTCTGGTGGAGGGTGGAGGTGAACAGTAGACTGTGGTGGCCTGAACAAAGCCACAGTGCCACTGAAGGCTGCTGTACCAGACACACCGGAGCTCTGATAGGAACTGAAGTGGAAGGGAGACAAGTGGTAGGCTRCAGGTGATGCAGTGCCAGTCTGGATTTTCAGATCCTTTGGCAGCAGAGTACTGGCCACAGTTTGCTTTCGTGTGGAGGAGTGCTCAGTACACCTGGGATCTGCCCCAGGGGTGGAAACACACCCCTACTATTTGTGATGGACTAACCTGGAAAAAAATGGTACCTCTGAGAATCTACAATATATCATTGCATGGGGCAGCAAGGTAGCACGAGTGTTTGAGAAGGGAAAAAGAGTAATTCAGATCMTTCTGAAAGCCATGAAAAGAAGAAGGGTCAAGGGACCTGAACAGCAGACTCAGCTCTTGGGAGTAAAATGGAAGGATGAGACCTACCACAGGTCTGTGGCTGTTGTCAGCAAGACAGCAGCTACATCTGCCCAGAAATCCTGGCCAGAAAGCAAAAGTACCTATCCAGGTTCTCCAGTGCAGAAAGAAAGGAGGAAAGGAGAAGGGATGCCAACAAGTTTTCTATCAGCTGTTATTCCTGTCTATTGATCTGCACACTGTAGAATTGAAAAACTTTTTGACTTCCTGTGACTCGGGTGTATAGAATGATTTACTAAAATCTATGCAGGACTGAAAATACAGGTGTCCTTAGATGGCTTGTACTGCTAATTCAGCTTTGCTGTTAATTTATTAATTTCAGTTTGATTTCAAAAGTTAGATTTTAATTAGGTTTTAATTTTCCAGAAATTTCAAAAGGATTAATGACAGGTAAAGAAGTGAGCAGAGTGTGCCATCCCAAATATCCTATTAATTAAAACTCTGGTTCTAGAAAAATTTTGTTAGAGAAAAGGTAACATATCTGAGAAAAAAAAAAAAAAAAAAAAAAAAAAAAAAAAAAAAAAAAAAAAAAAAAATAAAAAAAAAACCACCAAAAACCAAAACACTTTTTTTTAACAGAGAATCTGCAAGATTTCTCTTCAGAATCATTAAACAAATACCAATATGTTCCATAGTGTACAATATAATTAGTAGGATTGACATCTAGTTCTTTAAGTGCAAATAGTATGCAGACAGTTCTGAAGCATTTTGTACTGAGGTAATGTAACATGAGATGGAAATTTGTTCATAAATTACTGTACTTCACAGAATTTAAAAGGTAAATTCCACATTAAAGGTGACTTACTGTAATCATCTTGGTCATCATGTTAGGTTCCTGATAAAGTGTATTACTGAAATAAGCTGTCACTGAAATGTACTTATTGTGCCATTATACTGACATTATGTTCACACAATCTGAGCCTACGCTTATTACAATGGCAGCTCCCTGAAAGACAAATRGAAGAGAAATACCAGAAAAACCTCCAACTATTATTAAAGAACCTCACATCTATGCACTTCACTTTACCTTTTTCTGTCTCTTTTTCTGTAGGTTGTGACCTCATCCCAGTCCAGTATCTCAGATGGGGTGATCCYGAACCAATTGCAGCCGTTGTTTTTGCATGCCTGGGTCTGCTGGCCACGCTGTTTGTTACAGTCGTATTCATAATGTACCGCGATACTCCGGTGGTCAAATCATCCAGYCGAGAACTCTGCTACATCATCCTGGCCGGCATCTGCTTGGGTTACCTGTGCACTTTCTGTCTGATTGCAAAACCTCAACAGATTTACTGCTACCTGCAGCGAATTGGCATTGGCCTCTCGCCGGCTATGAGTTACTCTGCTCTGGTAACCAAAACCAACCGCATCGCAAGAATCCTGGCTGGAAGCAAGAAGAAAATTTGTACCAAGAAACCGAGGTTCATGAGTGCCTGYGCCCAGCTGGTGATTGCATTTATCTTGATATGTATACAATTAGGCATCATARTCGCCCTCTTCATAATGGAGCCACCAGATATAATGCATGATTACCCAAGCATCCGAGAGGTCTACCTGATTTGTAACACCACCAACTTGGGCGTCGTAACTCCCCTTGGATACAACGGATTATTAATTCTGAGCTGCACCTTCTATGCGTTTAAGACAAGAAATGTCCCGGCTAATTTCAACGAAGCAAAATATATTGCCTTCACGATGTACACCACCTGCATCATTTGGCTGGCTTTTGTGCCAATATATTTTGGGAGCAATTACAAGATAATCACCATGTGTTTCTCCGTGAGTCTGAGCGCCACAGTGGCCCTCGGCTGCATGTTTGTGCCCAAGGTGTACATCATTCTCGCTAAGCCGGAGAGAAACGTGCGCAGTGCGTTCACCACGTCGACGGTAGTCCGCATGCACGTGGGGGATGGAAAGTCATCTTCTGCYGCCAGCCGCTCCAGCAGCCTGGTGAACCTGTGGAAAAGGAGGGGATCATCCGGTGAAACGCTTAGGTAAAGGTTTCTAATGTGGGAGTGTGGGGAGGCAATGATGATCCTCTGGGAAGACAAAAGACAGTGTGCTAATTTCCTTTGTCTCAGCACTGGGAGTGGAGTGAGTCCTATGTCCCACATCTGAATGTTTCRGGTTTGATTTAGTCTAAATTCTGTGCAAAAATGGGGGACAAAGCAATGGGCAAAGTTGGAAGGACTGGCTRTGACAACTGTACTTGAATCTAGGGAGAAAAAAATATTTTAGGAAGAAAAAAAATCAAGAGAACAAAAAATAAAACACATTGCCTTGTCCTGAATGCACTCATTTATAATCTCTTTCCCTAAATAAACTTTGTAGTGTCTGCATTTTGCCTCTAGTTACAGCAGAAAGACACCAAGGTTGCTGCTACAGCTCCATAATCAAGGTGGAGTATTAAACACAAGAGTCATCGTGAGCAGTCACTGTCAGGCATCTGAGGATTTGTTTCATATGGCTCTTCTGTTACCCATTTTATCTCCTGTTTTCTTGATTGTCCTTTCTTATATTCTTATATCTCTTCTTGTTTTCTTTCTTTTTGTCTTCACCTGTCTTCTCTTCCTTACCTTTTTCTCTACACATCCTCCTAACGCTACACAAATTCAGCTGCTCACAGGCCCTGCTCTGCCTACGTTTCCTGCCATTGAATAGATAGTCCCTTTGGAGATATTCCTTTGTTTCTTCCTAAGGCATTATTTGAATCCAGTAATCATGCAGACAACTTGTATGTTCAGTGTATAAAAGTTACCTTAAATGAGCATTAAAGAGAAAGGAGAGCTCTGGAGTGGAAACACTACTACATCATGGACAGGACAYGTAGGTGTGCACCTTGCCCAGTGGTTTGTTTTCAGCCTGTGATCCTTTCACTTGTGATATGGCTGCCATGGGGATAATTCGGGTTATTTAACTGCTGGCATAAACAAAAAAACCTKTCAATGTGAACTGCAGAGAAAAGGTTTTGTCATTCTTCAGCTATGTATGTCTGGCCTAGAAGTGACAAGTAGCTAGATTTTTCTCCTCACTGAAATGCACATGGATTTTAGGATTGATAACATGAATATTTCCAGACATGTCATTGTTCACAATGGGAGATGATAGCATGGAACAAGGACAATTTGTACTTCCATTCYTGTGTGAACCACAATTTAGACCTGTGAGAGAACTTTATTAGTAATACCGGCAGGATATATTATGCCAAAGTGATTATTTTTTTCTGTCAGAATATTACTAATGATTCTTTTTCAGAGACTTTGAAGTGGTACAAAAATGGCCAGTCTATTCCAAGATATTTTATCCCTATTAACATCATTAACATCAGTGTGTTAATGATGTTTTATTTCAGTTCCTTTCCTGGTACAGAGTAGGATGTTTTTTTTTAAAATGATAAATCCTTTTTCAGATTGAGTGATGGTTACCTGAAATACCCTTTTCTGCAGCCTCTGTCTGTATGCATAAATGACCTGAGGTATTTGAATTAAAAGCCCTATAGAAACTTTCAGGCCTGTTAAAAGACACATTCTTCAAAATATGTCCTCACTAGAAAGCATCCTTCTTTGAGACCATTATTAATTTCCCTCACTTTTGCTGTGGAACTCTTTTGCCATCTTGCAACTTTTTTATGCARCAAAATGCAGTTTTAGATGACAGGAAGATCTCGGGCTCAGGAAGGAATTTTTTGTCATCTATTCAGGTCTGGTTTGGAAAGACATTACTCTAAAATCTTTGGTTTRTTCTGAAAAGCAAGGAGTATGCCCRGTTATTAAACATTCTAAATGAAAATATGCATTTTCTTCTTTTTGAGGACTCTCTTTTCATTTCTTTGTATCCCTCAATGTGTAGATAATACCTGCAGTAGGGAAATATTAACAAAAGGTAATAGATCATCATCAACAAAGACTTCTTTTTCAATAGCACTGTCTTGGAAATGACTTCAATCCAAAAGAGCCTTAAGAGTGCCCAATATGTGTGTGTGGGGATGAAAATGGCAGTGCAAAGCTGATGCATTGACAYATTTTTCTGGATACAAAGAATTAGAACTTTTCTTTTGAAACTTGGAGAAAAACTTACATGTCATCAGCAGTGTTCATCAATGCACAAAGCTGCAACAAAGAAGATCCTCCTACCACATGTCTGAATCCTCAACAGATTGAACCACCGAGTTTAGTGGTGCTCAGTCAGTGTGTGCCTRAAGGGTCTAGGCTTCCAAGAGCAAACTGATTCCATCGATCCTGGGAAATTCTCTCTAATCAATGCTAATTTAATTACATGAAAGGGAGTGGTAAAACATTCTGAATAAGTTTAAAATGATGCTCAGAACTTCAAATAGGTCTGGTATAATCTCCAAGAAAGAACAGAAAATCACTGTCAGCTTCAATTCTATTTAGTGTAGAAAATGAGCAGAGTTCCACCATTTTACTTAATAATGAAACATTTCTTTGAAAAAATCTGGTTRCACAAAGCAATAGATTTCAAGATATTATTCTGTACAAAGCACAAAAGCTTGTTTGGATAGCTGTTTGAGTAAACACCAAAGTATTCAGAATCAAAGGAATTGTGCACTAGATCTACATGGCATTATTTAAATAGCTCAGAGGGGTTTTGTTTAAAAGAGAGTGAATCATGGCTGAATTTTAAAGAAACATTCTATTTAAGTCACCAGTGCATAGAGGGGCCTCTATCATTAGCATTTTGCTTCTTGACACTAATTTATAGCAGTGTAGTATTGCATCAAATCATTGTCAAACAGATAATGCCAAGGCGCCATTCAGAGCTTTCACATCAGCTACAAAATGACAGATAACAAGACTACTTTTGCCTAAATAAAGCAATGCATCTGTTACAGTCCTAAATGACTTTTTGCATGGGATGTTCTTCAATTAAGAAAACTCAGGCAAGCTGTGGTTGTGTGTCGGAATGAATCTTCACATACTGAAATATGTAGAAGGAGAGAGTAAAACTACTCATTACCCAGTGAAATGAAAACTATTTCATGGAGGCTGTTGAGATTCAGCAGTACTTCCCAAAATATATTCTGCTCTCATTTAAAAGCAGGGCTGACCAATCTGACATTATCAGAAACAACTCCACAAAGGAGAACACTACATAACTGGAGTCAAAGCCATATAACCAGCACAGAGGCATCTGGAAATTCTGATTCCTGTTATCTCACCARTTAATTTCATAGAGACTAGGGAGGCCGTAAACAAACTGAGTAAATCTTACCTTGAGGTATCAGGAATTATTATCACATGTGCTACACAGGCTTTTTGCAAGTGTCTAAATACAGAGCAAATTTATCMTCTTCTCATTCTCAAATAACTCTCTATTCCAGATAAGACAAAGGCTGTATATTTCTGCTACGAGAGCTGCTGCAAGAGCTGTATTTCTAGTTAGGACTGCACACCAAAAGGTCTCAGTCATGCTACCTTGACCTGGAGAAGAATGCAGGTGTTCAAAAGCTCCTCTTAGCTTTCTTATATCTTTGCCCTGGATTTTGCACAAAAAATTAACCCTTGTAGATGTTTATGCTTTCTGGAAGGCRCCTTTAAATGGTGCAAACCACACATGCTCCATTTTCCAAGCTTACAAAACTGTACCTTTAAACACACTCATCTCCCCACAACARCCTGCAGGAAAGTAAGATTTTTTTTTCCTTTAAAGCAGGTAATCAACGGTTCTGAGTGACCAGCAAATTATTAAAAACAGACATAAGTACTGTCTCCCCACACATATGTGCTATTTAAGTCTAAAATACTACCGGCATTTTTCTCATTGCCCTTCAAATTTCTTTCAAATCCTCACAGTGTAGGCATTGCTCCTTCTGTCTCCTCCTGTTGGCCACACATGGCCCCGTGGTTTCTGCCCTCAGCTCCTTCTTTTGGACGTACCCAAACTACCTGCAAGGTTTTTTTAGTGGCTTCAGCAGCAAATTCTGCATTGTTTAAGCCTGCAACATATTACAGGAAAATTAAGAGGAACCTGGCATCTTTCCGTGGATCAAGCTGTGACACAGAGCTGTTCAGGCAGTGAGGCAGGAGCCWTTGAAATAGGAGTGAGGTCAGAAAACACTGTTGGCATCCCAAGGTAAGGCCCTGCTTGGAGGTCAGGGGCTGATATGCAACCCCCTTTACTTATACTTGCAGTGACAGTGAAAGGCTGAAGAAAGGAATTAGGTCATTAWAGTGGCTTTTAATTGCCTCTTGGCCATTGCCTCCCTGTAGTGATGTTGCATTCATTTAGATATCTTCTACCATATCCTTAAAAGACAGAAGCTGGTTGGTGCCCAGTACAAGCCAAAAGTATCCTTCTGAAACAAAACAAGACAGAATATCATCTTCTAAATGAGCAACYAAGYCAGAGGGTTGAGCAGCACTTTCAATCYGTAACCCAGGCAGGCAGCTGYRATCACTCAAAAGGAAAGAATCATCKCCAGCTAAGTCAGGTAGTGTTAGSTATWCTCAGGATACATTAAATATTTGCCTTCTGTGCTTATTTCCKGCACACAGCTGTGAACAGCACGATACTGAACAACAGAAGAAGTATGCACATAAATTTCTGCACCTTATCATAGACCCTTTTCTCACAAATCTTTTTGGAAACTAAAGCTTAATAACCTGGTGTGGCAGTGGCACTTTATTCTACCTGGGTTTACTATGAGATGCAGTATTTCCTAAATATTTAAACATAAGTTGTGGCTGTCAAACTAAATGGATTACTCATTGGTTTTTTAATGTGTTGTCTTGTCCACTTAAGAAGTTTGTCCTGCACTGTATGATTGTGGAACTGAGCATTGCTCTGTAAGCATCTGCAGAAGTGCTAGGACTGAAAGCTTTCACCCGGGATTGGAAAACCCTTGTCCTAGTGAGCCAAACTCACCCTTAGAGSAACCACAAAAATTTTATTATGTAAATCACCATCATTTTGTTTTATCTTACTAAACTTAWACAAAGATGCTGACACATCCACCTCAGAATCATGTTTCTCCCTCT